GAGGACCCCATTTACCTTAATCTGGTATCGTACCGTAGTAACACACTTCATTAGTAATCGAACCCAAGCATCAGAGAACCCCAACCTCTCCAGCATCACCTTGAGGAATCCCCATTCGACCCTATCATATGCTTTACTCATATCAGCCTTGATCGCTGCATAGCACTCCTTGCCTTTCTTCTTATTCGGCAGCATGTGTGAGAATTCATACGCTATTAGCACATTGTCTGTGATTAGACGTTCAGGTACAAATGCGCTTTGGTTCTCTGAGATCACCTCTGGAAGGATGAGTTTCAGCCTGTTAGCCATCACCTTTGAGAAAAGTTTGTAGAGCACATTGCACAAGCTTATGGGCCTTAAATCCTTTATTCGGTTTGGGTTTTTAACCTTTGGTATCAAGACCACAAACGTATCATTCCAGCCCTCCGGCATTGGTCCACCATTGAGCACGTGCAGCACCTCATTAGCAATCTTTTCTCCCATCATGCACCAATGCTTTTTATACACCAACGATGGCATGCCATTCGGCCCTGGCGCCTTCAAGTTTCCGATGTGATCGAGGGCAGTTTTGATCTCCTCACGTGTGAACTCCTTCTCCAGGAACTCGCTCATTTGCGGTGTAACCGGCCTCTAAACTTTTTGTGCGAGCTCCTCTGTCCTACGGTTTAGTAGTGAACAAATCCTGAAAAAACAAACAAACGTAATTAGTCATCTCGGGTCCCTCCTTCACCACCGAGTCATCCTCCCTTCTTAACTCCTTGATCTTGTTGTTCTTCTTCCTCGTCGTAGCGCATTTATGCAGGAACTTTGTATTCCTTCCCCATTCCTTAAGCCACCAGACATGTGCTCTTTGTCTCCACTTAATATGCATTAGTTCCTCCAACCTTGCTACTTCTCCTCTCCACCAGGCCTCCTCCTTAACTTTCTCCTCCGTAATGTCATGGCGCCGCCACTTCTCAAGCTCGCAGTTTGCCTTCTTCAACCTCGTCCCCAGCTGACCCACAACCTCCTTACTCCATTTCGTCAGCTTCCTCGCCACCCCTGCCAACACCCGAGACACCTCCCCTCCCCCTTCCGGCCAGCTTTCCTCCCAGGCTTGCTTAATTACTTCGGCATATCCCTCTTCCTCCATCCAACGGGCCTCAAATCGGGAGCTACTGTCCCGAACCCCCCCTCCTTCCTCTCCTTGATCAGTATGTATCACAACTGGTCTATGATCCGAGTGCCGAGGGTCTCCGTTTATTACTCTGAAGTTCGGGTATTGCAAGCACCAATCATCATTTGCTACTGCCCGATCCAACCTCTCGCATATGTAGTTTGTGCTGTCCTTACAATGATTTCTCCAAGTAAACATGTCACCTTCAAAACCCAAATCTTGCAGATCGCAGAAAGTGAGGGCCTCCCTGAACCGGTCCATATAAGATTGGCTCCTAGGTGCTCCTCCCACCTTTTCATCATTACTCAATATTTCATTAAAATCGCCAAGACACACCCATGCCCTCCCTTCCTGGTGTTGCTGCTTCAGTGTGCGTAATACTCTCCATGTTTCCACCTTCCTGTCCCATTGCGATTCACCATACACCCCCGTGAGCCTCCACACACCCTTCTCATCCAACACATCGACATCTATATGCCTTCTTCCCATTGATCTGAGTGTCACATCCACCCCTCTCCTCCAGAACAGCGCCACCCCTACTCCTACCCTCCGGGTTCCATGCCACCATGCTCGCGAGCCCGAGCTTCCACCTTAGCCACTCCATCTCCTCCCCAGTCAACCTAGTTTCAGCCAAGAACAAAATGTTGGGATCCTCCTTCCTCCTAAGATCTAGGAGTGCATGAACTGCCGGGCCGTTCCCAAGCCCCCAGCAGTTCCAACTTATAATTTTCATGACTCCCGGCGGGGCTGCTCGTACAGCCCGGCCGATGAAAAGTTGCTCGAAGCAATCAGGTTCTCCTCGCTCATGTGTTCTTCATTCCTCCTCTCCTTCTTACCCCCCCTGCCGGCCTCCTCCAGCACCTCCTCCTCCTCCCCCAACGATCTCTTCCTGCTACCCCCAGCTACCAGGTGAGTCGTAGCTCCTTCTCCCTCCTTTCTGGCTCTTTCCTTCCTCTTGAACGTTCCTGGCCCCCTCCCCTTACCTCCCTTTCCGCCCTTAGCTCCCCCTTCCCCTCCTTCCTGCAGCACGCTCCCAGTCCGCTTCCCTTCCTCCATAGTAACTCCTTCATCAACCTCCATGCCTCCATCATTCGCTACGGTCTCTCCTATTCCTTGATCACGAGAGCGGTCGAGGCAGTTCCAACTCTTTGTGGTTCAGTGGGTTTCTCAATGAAAGATATCTTCCTCGGGTTTCCCTCCTTTCCACCCTGCTTCATCCCCTTGCTAGGGCTAGTCACCTCGGGGCCCTTCTCCACTGCTCCCCCTCCTCCTCTCGACCTACTGCCATCCTTCCTCCATGACAGGCTATCACTCCCGGATCGATCAATAGGCCTCCCAAAACCATAGACATGACTACCACTATTGCCCCGGGACGAGCTCCTCCATGCTCCCTCCTGTGATCCACTCCTCCTCATCCCCATGTCCACCTTCATCCATCGTCCAAATTGTGCTCTCTCCCCCTTCTTCAGTTTGATAGAGCATTCCTTGTCAACATGGCCTAGCCTCCCACAAATATAGCAGAAGTCAGGGAGGTATTCGTACTCAAACCGGCACCATTGTTCCTCCTCCTTCCCATACCCCTCCTTGCTTCGTTCGGACGCCTCCTCCTTCCTCCTACTATTTTCTTCCTCCTCGCCTTCCCCTTCTTCCTGTTCTGTATCCAACTTGAACCCACGCATCAGAGGTTTACCAATTTGGATTCTCACCTTTACTCTCAGGAATTTGCCGATTGTTCTTCCATCTACACCGGTGTCCACTTCCACAAACACCCCCACCATGTTCCCGATCATCTCTCCCGTGTCTTCGTCCATGTCTCCGAGTGGCAGCCCATATACCCGAATCCAAATCAGGATTTCCTTGAACTCATAATCATCTATTCGCTTGCTTGGGTGAAATTCCTCCATTACCACCAAGGAATTATCAAACATCCATGGGCCATCCTCCAATGCTTTCCTCTTCTCCCTCTCCTGCTTGAAGATAAACATGAATCTGTTCTCACCCAGGTCCTTGCAGTCCACCCCGTGTATGGGGCTCCATATCCTCCCTAATGAGTTGCAGATCGCCTCGGGTGCGCCAGCCTCTCCACCATGACCTTCTCGATCGCACGGATCTCGACCTGCTTCCCTTTCCCCTTCTCCGCCCTCTTGATCTTCATCCCTTTACTCTCTTCCTCTGATAGCCTCAGACTCTCCAACATCCCCGCCATCTTCTCCATCCTTCCGCTACTGAGCACTTGAGAACAAACTAGGGTTTCGGTGGTGTACGATAGCGCTCCCTAGCATGCGCGACGACTTGGTGTGGACTTGGATGGGTGCGCCCTCCGTCCAGGAGATCGAATTAGCAAGATCAGGTGTGGATGAAAGTGCGATCCGCCCTTGGGAGATCGAAGAGCAGACGGCCGGGCTGGCGTTAGGTGCGCGCGGCGACAGAAACCCTAATCGCCCCCGCGATCGCCGCTTCCCAAACGCAAAGCGTCACCCCTCGGGACGGACCCATCTATATCTATACCTACTAATAAAAGAAATAGGTATTCTTAGTCCGTCATGCTATTTTATAGAAAACCCCCTGATATTTCTAACATTAAACCCGCAGTACATATAAAATGTTTTTTAAAATACTCATATCTTTTTAACTGTAACTCTAAATTTAACATATTATATATGAAATTTAATTAGAAAAATATGTAGAATCTAAATATGATGTTACTTTACCTATTAACAATTTTTAAAAATACTATCTAGGCTGCAATGTTAATTAACAATGCACTATCTGTCTTTTTTCATACCGATACTGATTGAACACCTCAGCAAAATCAGGATTGGACATCAAATTAAATATAAATTTATTAGAGACACCAATAAATAAGGACATGCATGACCATAAATTAAAAGAACCAAATAAAGATGGGATGCCCGCTATAAAATAAATAAAAGAGAAAATGCAGAGGAGATCCGATGAAGATGAGATGTTGCACTATTCTCCTATATATAAGAAAAAAAAAGAGGACATGCATGAAAAATGTAAAAAGGAGGCATGCATGACAAAAAGTAAAATAAAATAGAAGTTTGATAAGAAATAAATAGTGATGAAACAGGGACCAATACTTATGACATGTATGGCAAGAAATAGTGATGAAATAGGGGTGCAAGTACCTGTGTCAACATGATCCATAAAAAATGTTCTTTTCCAGACAAAAAAAATCTCTTTTATGATTTAAAAATCTTGTATCTTTTTAACAACCTTTTTAACTCTTCATGTATTTAAGAAATAGCTATAAATTCTCAGATTATAGAACATTTTTTGTAAATTAAGAGCGTGTGGTATTTTTCCCGTTGCAATGCATGGGCTTTTTTGCTATAAATCTAAGAAACTAAATATGGTTAGTCAGAAAAAATACTCAAATGTACTGCAAGCGTGTCTTAATAAGAATCCAAAAGAAGTTCCCAAATATGGCCCAACCCTGATTGGGGAGAGCGTAGATGAGATTTGCGCCCTACCAAACATAGCCCTTTTGATGATCTGATTTCCATTACCTAATCTTATCAGCCAGCTAGTAAAGGAGGACTCATCCGTGCACATGCTATATCAATGAGTAATAATTTAGGTGGATTCATAGCCATGCACCACATGCTCGGCAATTCATTTTTATACGATAACACATGGTCGATCGTTGACGTGCATCATAAGCAATGCAGTCAACTGGTACCACTCGCTCGCTAGTGGAGTAGTTATGTGTGTCGTCGTTCTCAGTGACCAGTGGATCTCTCCATATATATAGAGGGAGACATAGCAACATGCATGTACATTTATAAGTTCCTGCGTATGTAGTCTAGCTAGAACAACAATGGAACTCCTTGGCGTGCTCATGTGTCTCCTAGCCGTGCCCGTAATGGCCTTCCTGCGAAGCTACGGTAGGCGGGCACGTGCTCGCCTCGTCGTTCACAAGATCGGCGACCCTGCCGTTGCCCACCGCGCGCTCATCGACAACGCCGACGACTTCTCGAACCGGCCGGCCGGGATCTTCCCCGTATCCCTAGCCACCTGGGAAAACGGCGAGCCGAACGAGAACATAACCACGGTGAGGTACGGCCCGCACTGGTCAGCGCTCCGCTGCAACCTCACCGCCGGGATCCTGCACCCCACGCGCCTGGCTTCTCTCGCCCCGCTGCGGCAGGAGGCCGCCCAGGCGCTCGTGGCGGAGCTCTCTGGCGCCAGCGGCCGTGACCGTGAGGTGACCCTCCGCGGCCACATCACCGCTGCCGTGTTCCCGCTGGTGGCGCGCCTGTGCTTCGGCGATGGCGTCGACGGCGGCCACGTGCGCGCCATGGGGACCATGGTGCGGGATTTCCTAGCCGCCGCGGGGGAGCTCAACCGCAGATTCGACGGCTCCATGCTCTCCAAGATCGTGAACTGGAGGGCGCTTCGCCACGTCACCGGCTTGATCGAGCGGCAGGCCGAGCTGTACCGCCCGCTGATCGAGGCGAGGAGGCGGTCACGATCTCCCCTCTGCGGCGGCATTGTCCATCCTTACATCGACTCACTCCTCGATCTCCGCGTACCCGATGATGATGCAGCCGCCGGCGACGGCCATGGCCTGCGCGAGCTCCGAGACGGCGAGGTGGTAGGTCTCGTTCTAGAGTTCCTTGCCGCGGGCATGGGCTCCGTGTCGGCCTGCGTCGAGTGGACCCTCGCCCACCTCATCGACCGGCTGGAGGTGCAGGACAAGCTACGCCGTGAGATCGATGGCGCGGCTGACGCCACGCTTTCCAGCAAAACCCTTCGCACCGGCATGCCGTACCTGAACGCCGTGGTGTTGGAGAGCCTCCGGATGCACCCGCCGATGCCGGTCCTCATGCGCGCCGCGCATGGCGAGGGTGCCAAAGTAGTGCCTGTCACAAGGGCCACCACCGTGCCGGCCGAGGGCCTGAGGGTGATGTTCAGCTTAGGCGACATCGGAAGAGATGGGAAGACGTGGACCGACCCTGACGAGTTCCTGCCAGAGCGATTCCTCCCCGGAGGCGAGGCGGAGGACGTTGGCCCGATGCCGGGCCGGAAAGAGATCAGGATGATGCCGTTTGGCGCGGGACATAGGCACTGCCCCGGCATGAGCATGGGGATGTTGCACACCAAGTGCTTCGTGGTGGCACTCGTGCGTGAGTTTGAATGGGCACCATCGGCGGAGGACCGCGGCGGCGGCATTGACATGACGGAGCTGGATGGGTTCTCCAAGCTGATGAAGAAGCCCCTTACCGCTTGCGTCACGCGACGTACATAATCTTCCTAAACCTTAATAAAGTTGTGTATCTTTATTATCTAGTATAAACGGAGTTGGATGTAATAGTATATTCCAATGTGATGCGACTGTACTCCCTGAAAAGAAAATGAGGTTTGGCTGTTCGGAACATCAATATCTATTATATAAGTACTATAACAGGAAAATAAAAATGAAAGAGTAAAGGACAGCGCTAGCCATCAGACTATAGACACTTTGCATCCTAGCAGACCAGTCAGAGGCCGTCGGATCAGGTGCATCCGTGCATGTTAGTCGTCAGATTTGCTGGGCTGGTTCGTTAATAGTCCCGCGCGAGATTTGCTCAGCTAGTTTGTTAATTGACTGCTGCATCATAACTGCTTCCGCATACCACGCACGCTACTCTGGGTTATCTCTCTCATATATGTTGCTTTCTTCAACTAACCTCTTTCATCATGCGTTGCTTCCTTCAACTAAGCTCTTCCATCGGGCGTTGCTTCCTACAACTTTTTTTTTTGCGGGAGTTTCCTACAACTAAGCAGCTATTGGGAAATAAACTGTACGGTTGTGCTATTTCTCAGTCGACTGAGAAATAGTAAAGTCTCAGTCAACTGTTTTACTCTTCGGCCTGTGTAACACTCTTTCTCCAGCCCGTTTGCCTTTTTTTCCTTTGCTCCCATCGGCCTTGGTTCTGTAGGGGCTAGGGAGTGTTTGTTGGGCTTAGTACGTAGGTGGTCGATGGGTCTTTTTCTCGTTTTCTTTTTTGTTTGTTTTTGGGGGCGATTCAGAGGGGAACGGGCAGATATGTGTGCTCCCGTCGATGGGTGACGCTGGTGATGGAGTAATTTATCTCTGTTATTATCCGCTCTCTGTTTTGTCTTTTTTTTTGTTTTTTGGTTCAAGTAGTTGCATGTCTTCTAACCCGACCCGCAACTAGACTTTTTTGTTCTGTCGAAGGGGGCGCCAGTAGAGGGGGCGGGCCAGTTCCAAGCCCAACAACAACCCCGCAACTGCAAGTGCCGCACCCGATAGCAACTGCATGTCCCCAAACATGGTTGCACCTAGACTTTCTTTTGTCGGAGGAGGCGGCGGAAGAGGGGGCGGACTAGTTGCATGCCCGACTCTAGGCATGCAACTACAAGTGTCGCACCCGACCGCAACTGCATGTCTTCTACTTCGACCGCAACTAGACTTTTTTGTTCTGCCGGAGGGGCGCCGATAGAGGGGGGGGGCAGTTGCAAGCCCGACAACCCCGTAACTGCAAGTGCCGCACCCGACCGCAACTGCATGTCCCCGAACATGGTTGCAACTAGATTTTCTTTTGTCGGAGGGGGCGGCGGAAGAGAGGGCAGGCCAGTTGCATGTCCGACTCTAGGCATGCAACTGCAAGTGTAGCAGCCGACCGCAACTGCATGTCTTCTAACCAACCCCAACTGGACTTTTTTGTTGTGTCGGAGGGGGCTGGCCAGTTGCAAGCCTGACAACAGCCCTGCAACTGCAAGCACCACACCCGACCGAAACTGCATGTCCCTCAACATGCTTGCAACTGAGCTTTTGTTTTGTCGGAGGGGGCGGCGGGAGAGAGGGCGGGCCAGTTTGCATGTCCGATACTGGGCATGTAACTGCAAGTGTCACCCTCGACCACAACTACATG